GACAAGTGAAAATGAAAATGGGGAGAAGCTAGTAATTCGCTGAATTTGAAGTTTTTTTTATTTAAAAAGACAATATACCTTTGCAAAATAAGACCAATATCGATAAGATTATGTGGATTCTGTGGGATTATAAGAAATAATAAAAAAGTAGGTGGTTTGATTTCAAACATGGTCCTACAAGCTTCTTTTATTAAGATTGATCTGAGCAGGTAAAAACCGCAGCCAGTGACTAAAAGTTTAAAGTTTCGATTTGATTTGATTTCAAACATGGTCCTACAAGCTTTTTTTACTAAGACCAATCTGAGCGCATAAAAACTGAAGCCAATGGCGGGAATGGTCAATGGCCGCGTCTACTTCCCTAAGCCACATGGAACTTGCGGACTACAATAACAAAATCAATGAAAATATTGAAAAAGAGCTTCGAATTGCCGAATAAAAATCGGAGAGTTTGCTGTGGTTGTAGGTGTTCCGCTTGACCGTATTTAGGAAATGGACTTGATAATTTAGTCAAAAAAAAGCTATTCAAATGTGGATCTGTAGAAATGTGGATTTGTCAATACTTTCCGAGTATTTAGACTGATTTTTGAATCTTGTACGATCAGGATATATACACAATCTATTAACTAATAAGAATAGTTAAAAATAGTTTTACTGGCCAAAATTTTCTGTACAAAAAGCTGTTGCTATATACTTAATTTATAAGACCTAACCTAACCTAAATATATAGTCCCTGAAGATGATTATCGAAGATAGTCGAAATATCGTAAAATGTTTTAATAAAATATAAATTGTTTTTAAATATAAATAAGAAATTATAATTTTTTTATTTATATTTAAATGACCAATGAGCTCGCTAACTAATTATTACTAAATATATATATTGAAATCTATAACTTTTAAATAAATAATTAAATTGGATAAAATTGTCAATATATATTTATTTTATTTCTCTTTACTCTCTCACAGATATTTATTCATCGCTGCTGGCATTCATTACACTTTAGATTTTCAACATGAAGATGTATTCTACACTCCATTGCCATTGTATCACACAGCTGGTGGTATATTGAGTATGGGTCAAGGTTTATTGTTTGGCTCCACTGTTGCGATACGTAAGAAGTTTTCTGCTTCCGGTTATTTCGCGGATTGTGCGAAATTTAAGTGCACTGTGAGTAACTACCTATCCCTTTCTCGCCTTTATTTTGGTATATACATTCCATTAATATACATATTTCTTGTTAAAATTTAGGTCAGCCAATATATTGGTGAAATGGCTCGTTATATACTTGCAACACCAGCGTCTGAAAACGATCGTAAGCACAAAGTGCATTGTGTCTTCGGTAATGGCTTGCGTCCACAAATTTGGCCACAATTCATTAAGCGCTTCAACATAGCAAAAGTAGGTGAATTTTATGGTGCTACGGAAGGAAATGCAAATATCATGAATAATGACAGCACAGTTGGTGCTATTGGATTTGTGTCTCGTATATTACCTTGGATTTATCCCATTTCAATTATACGTGCTGACCCCGATACGGGCGAACCAATACGTGGCAAAGACGGTTTATGTCAACTTTGTGAGCCAAACGAACCTGGTGTATTCATTGGCAAAATTAAAAAAGGAAATCCTTCTCGCGCGTTTTTAGGCTATGTAGATGCTAAAGCTTCCGAAAAGAAAGTTGTGCGTGATGTATTTAAAAAAGGTGATATGGCGTTCTTGTCTGGAGATTTACTTGTTTCCGATGAAAGAGGATATTTGTTCTTTAAGGATCGCACAGGAGATACATTCCGTTGGAAGGGTGAAAATGTATCAACCAGTGAAGTTGAGGCACAAGTAAGTAATGTGGCTGGCTACAAAGACACAATTGTTTATGGAGTTACAATTCCGAATACTGAGGGCCGCGCTGGAATGGCTGCAATTTATGACCCAGAGAAGCAGGTCAAATTAGATGAATTTGCTGACAATCTTTCCAAAGTATTGCCTTCATATGCTAAACCTCAATTTTTGCGTTTTCTTACTAAAATCGATTTGACGGGAACTTTTAAGCTGCGAAAGGTTGACTTACAAAAGGAGGCTTTTGATCCAAACGTTATAAATGATGCACTTTTTTATTTGACTCCTAAAGGAAAGTATGAAGCACTTACTAAAGAGATCTACGATAAGATTAGTCGAAATGAAGTTAGATTTTAAAAAAATTTTGCAAATTATGTAAAATGTGTTGCCAATTTAATTTTAATTCTTACCTGGTTAATGATGTTTTGTTTTGTTATCTAGTAAATATGTTAAATATTAATGTAAAAAGAATTAAAAACGAATTCCTCAGTCACTTAAGACTGGACTTATTGTTGTTAAATGTATTTATAGGTAATTTGAATGTTTTGAGGGCCAAAGCGGGTGTACTAAAGATTACTTGTAAATTTTGTATATTTTGAAGGAGCACATTAAAATATGATATATATTTATATATAAATAGATATTTACATATATGTATTAATTATTTTTGTAATGATTTTATTTTGATACAGAATCTTAAATTGTTGCAGTACTGATTATTATTAATGCTGTGAGCTATATTATGTATAGACTTCAAATAGTAAATAAAAATCCATGTAACATTAATTTTAAAATGTTATTAGTTTATAAATATTTGCACGGATTATGCTTTTAAATATAAAAAAAAATACTTTTAAGATTTATTAGTTGATCTATTAATTTCGATATTACTAAATTACTTGTCAAATTGTAACATTCAACATTTGTGGGTTATGAGGAACTTTATTAAGAAATAAGATTATAAGGAAAAATTAAATACTTTATAATGGTTGTTATCATTGTGATTACTCTCGACAGTTTACAGTACATGATAAATATGGTTTTTCACATAACTGTACCCATATATAAAAAAATTAAAAAATTTCAATGTTCCTTATACTTAACATTATCAAGAAATGTTTGGAAAAGTAAGTAGATCAGTTCAAATTTTATTCTTTGAACTATGAAAGACGAATAGTATGTTTCAGCTCTTCGATAATTTGGCACTATTATAATATATTATATAATATATATAGTGACGTTCTTAAACGGTCAACAGTGTCAATTTATGTAAAATTACAAATTGTCCCCTTATAATTTAAATTGAGTTGCTGTGGGGCGTACGTTTTGCATTGAGAAAGAGAGTTTTTGATTAAGTCATAAAATATTGAATTTTTTCTCAAATAAAAATATATAAGACTTACTTGACAACTCTTTCCTCAACAGTATTGGACAAGAAATTCGTTTTATTAGGACTTGATGTATTATTTATAGTTACATTCTTAATGTATTCTATATGCAGTTGAAATTGTAGCGAAGCTAGTCTCTTCATTCCCGTGAAAATCGGTCTGGCTTGGTTTTTATAGCTGTTCTATAATGATGAGTGTTTTTAAAGTTTGAGTTAAACTGAATAGGATTATAGCAAGTTAGAGTTTTCACTATTTTATTTAAATTCCTTATCTTTACTGATGATGGATATATATACTTTTCAAATAGAGTCATATCGATTCAAAAATGATACTACAAAATAATTAACAAATAAATAGAAAAGATTAGATCTTTCATTTATACTTGAGTGGGGAGGGGATTTTGTACTTATAATATATGTATTTATTGTATATGAAAGCTTTGATTTGCGCGCCGAAATGTATGCAACGATTTTCAATTTGAAATTCTTGAAAAATCAAATGAAAATTTTTGCTAAAAATTATGTTTTTTGTTTTAAAATTTTTAATTGGAAACGAAATCTGTCGTTATATCGTATATAAATAACGTTGTTTATATTATAAACCAAAAAGACGGCTTTACCTTCACCCATGCCTCCACACCATTTACACATGTAGTCTTTGTTTTCGGTTATATACACGGTTATATATGCTGAAAAGTTTTTGATCTGATATAGTGGTGCTGAAAAAAAATTTAATTTCGGCGATTAAAAATAGCGTAAAACATGCGTCAAAATTTGAATAAAATCCGACTATGAACTGACAATTTTGATGTACTCTTGAATTTGTTTATTAAGGGTTTTACAGGTTGATGATGACTATGTCCCAGACGGATCAATATTCAATCATTAATCAAACCATATGAAAGTCTAAAGCGAAAGTGGAGACCGTATTTATCTATAGTTAATCAAAAATTACAGAGATTGTCGAAATAGATATATGTTTTTAAGGACTGAAAAAATATTTTTAGATCAAGGCTATTAGAAATCTGGAATGATTTAGTGTTTATTGTGAAAATAATATGTCTTCATATGTTCGACCAAATATTTTTAGATCATCAGTGATTTAAAACCTAATGTACAGATATATTGAAAAAGCGTAATACCATTTGGGGAAATTATTTTCAATAGATGCTTATGAATCCGTTTTAATACTCACTTTGATGAGAATGAACTCTTATTTACTATTTAGACAGATATATAGACAGCCAAGTAGACATCTCAAAATAGATTGGCTTGGCAGGTTGCTTACAGTTTTTTACAGTTTAGACTAGTGTTATTCAATATAGGGTTATCGTCCCATAGGAGAACAATTAAAAATTGTAAAAATTATTTTGATGTTTATTTTACTGAAATTAGCGTGATACTTTTGATATTCTTTTTCAAAAGATATCACAATTGATACAGGTTTGAACTTAATTAGGATTGATGTCATTAATTCCTAACTGATTCTAATAAACAACAAGAAGATAGGTTTTTTCTAAGGCGTTAATTGGTAGGCCACAAGAAACCTAAGATGGAACAAAACAATGAAAATTAGGAAATACTAGTTTAGCCTATTTAAATCATATCCATCACGGAGTTAAAAATAATATTATCAAGTTTTTGTCCCATTCATTTTTAAGTCAAGAGTAATGCGTTACGGTATTTTGTCAGATCTGTTATTCCATGTTTAATATTTCTTTTAAAAAAAATTAAAAATTTTATTTATAATTTTTAAAATTCTTAATTTTACAGAATAGTTTTTTTGGGATGTGTATATTTTTAATAATAAATTAAATTGTTTGCAAAAAATGTTCCAAATTTACTATTTCGAGAAAACTCTATGTCGATATATGCGTAAACTCTTTGGCATGGTTATTGACGGTTGCGAGGTCTACGATTATTCCATTTGGTATTTTGAGCCAATAAAAAGGATATTTGTACTCAAAGACAATTGCATGAAATTATTCTGCAGTCCGGAATGGTTCCCAGTAAGTTATTGGATAGTTGTCATCTTAGGCTTAGTTGGATGCGTAAGTTTAATAAAAGAATAACAAAAGAATTGAAATAATTTTATTTTTCAAGATGCGAAGTTTTAATGAATTAAACTGTTTAATAGTCTGTGGAGGGCGGCATGTGAGTACATGGCGTCAGCGGACGTATCGTGTGTTGCCAAATAGAATTATACGCCAGGTTCGCGTAGTGACTGCATGTTTGATGTTACTTTTGTGGGCGAGTCTATTATATGGAGTCGTTTTGGTAAACCTGATTTTGATTTGCACATTTGATTGTTTGTGAAAAAACTTCGAATTTTAGGCTAAACCTATATTTATGCAGCCGTTAATATACGTAAATAATACCACACTTCTATTTGATCTTGCAAAATGGATATATGAGATTTCATGTGGACATATCCTTCTGGACCTGACAACCCTAAGTGCGTTTTTCGCTGCCTTTTTGAGTCTAATTAATATTTGGTGTGTTCAAAATGTATTGGAAACTGCGATTTTAGAAAATGATTTTACCCATTTAAAATTGATTTTTCCAGGAAGATTTCCGAATTTAAAATTCATATAATTATTAACATAAATAGAGATATAAATATATAGATTTTAAAGAAATAAATTATTAAAGTTCGATAATGAATTACTAATAGCGGTACAAAAAATCATATCTAATTTTTCTTAATAAAGTAATTTCAAATATTATCTTTAGTTTTAATTTAAATGAAACAATTATTTATTAATTGTTTTATATATATTATTTAAATAAATTTTTTAATTGCCTTGTATAACAACCATGACATACTATAAGTATATATGAGAATCCCAATTTCGGGTTTCAAATAAATCATATTTCTTTTAGTGCTCGATTAGTATTCCATTAGTATCTGATAAGTATTCTATTAGTATTCGATTAGTATTCGATTAGTAATTGATTCGTATTCGATCAGCATTCGATTAGTATAATATAGTTTAATTATAATGTGTTAATTAAATGTACTTGTTAAATTTATTAAAAAAATACTTGTAGAACTTATATCTGGAACACATAACATTAAACATTTGATATATTATGATACATCCTACATTAATAATAGTAATTTATATTTCCCTTATGCTATCTTTAGTCAAATAATCTACAAATAGTGATAATTTAATTGTGTATTTATAATGTCTTTTGTTTCCGAACGGAAATGGGTTCAGAAATCATGATAGTTCAATTCATAATGTTGTTTGTAAAATTTTAGATCAATATTGTGCCATACCACAAATTTGATGTAACATTTTTTACTACCATAATAAGGTATATTAATACCTTATTAGTTTTTGAGCATTTTTAGTAGAGTTTTCCTTTTATTACTCGATGCTTTTCTGTAAACGCTGTATTTAATTATATTCCATTGCAAAAATTTTTCTCATTTACCTAATAGGCTATTTACCTAATTTCTCATTTACCTAATTTACCTAATGGACGTCAGGTGGTCCCCTCTTAGATGAGGGCGTAACCATCTTCACTGACGGATCCAAAACAAGTAGTGGTGTAGGTAGTGGAGTTTTCTCAGAGGAATTAAACAAATCTTCCTTCTTTAGGCTTCCAGATCATTGTAGTGTCTTTCAGGCGGAAGTGGTCGCCATCAAGGAAGCTATAACTTGTTTGAATGTAGATGATATATTTGGCAGGAATATATACATACTATCAGACAGTCAAGCTGCATTAAAGTCCTTGAGTTCGGTCCAATTTACATCTAGGACGGTTCTTGACTGCTACACATCTCTGAACGAAATGTCGACGCAGCTCAATATTTCTCTAATCTGGGTTCCCGGCCATAGGGATATTTTCGGAAATTGTAAAGCAGACGAGTTAGCCAGAAAGGGTGCTTCAGAACCATACTCGGAGCACCTAGACTATCTAGGCATATCGCTAACATCATGTAAATTGTTATTGAGTTCTTTCTGCACTAATACTTTTAACAAAAGATGGGAAGACTCAACGATATGTAGACATCTGAATGCAATCTGGCCACTTTCCGATAAAAGGAAATCGAAAACTCTAATTGAGATGTCCCGCAAGGACATTGGTCTTCTGGTAGGGTTGACTACAAGACACTGTAAACTAGGGAACCATGCTAGAAGACTAGGTCTTCCTTTCAACCAAATCTGTCGTAGCTGTGGGGAGGACGATGAGAGCGCATCTCATCTTTTGTGTTTTGTCCAGCTCATGCACGTCGGCGATTTAGTACTCTAGGAGCCCTCTTCCTTAAGGACCTGGACCAGTTACAGGACCGGGCTTTAAATAGCATTTTATGCTTCGCAAAAGGTTCTAGGTGGTTTTAAACCCTGAGGTTTTTATTATTTATATACGGCATCACAATGGGCCAATAGGCCTAAGTGGATCTACTAGGGGTCACCGCTATAACCTAACCTAACCACCTACCTAATAGGCTAATATAACTTTAACTATATACGAGATCGCCCAATGGAAATGGATATTAACTGGACAAGGCCAAATTTTTAAGAAGATGCAAAAAAGATACGTGGGTATTATTTCTCTCCATATTGAGCCTTTCTTCAATATTTGTTAGTCTTTACATTTACTTCATATTTTAACAAATGGTAAAATTGTACTCGAATGAAGATACTCGTATCAGTATATTAGCGCGCTTCCATATCACTTCCAAGTGGGTTCATGAAAATTGGTTAGTTTGTCCAGTGAGTCCATGCAAAAGTTTATTGCACTGCAGTTAAAAAAAATATTATTTTAATTTAACTTTGCTTCTTTATGAATATATTTTACAATTTTGAGTAGTAGAAAAAACTTTTTACCAATGCACAATATCTTAAGGAAAATTTCGAAAATTACAATTGAAAAGGAATAAAACTTGTCAATGTAGACAAAGTCGAAATTTTCAAGAAGGAACTGTAACTCACACAAATATTTATAAACAAACAAACCTGAAGTGGAAGACTCTTGAGAAGAGAAAATGTATTGAAAACTTTTACAAGTACGCAATATCAAATTTGGCAAAATCCTATGGATTTGTGGTAAAGAGCAGAGCAGGAACACACAAGGAGTTTGAAGAACAAATTCTTTTATAAATAATAAAAGAGGACAGATGTCAAGATATTTCTCAATGTTCTCAGTAAAATGTTAGCAAGCTTAGAAAATTTAGAATCATCATTAAGATTTCAATACTGGAAGGGTTGTCTCTATAGTTTTCAGAAGAAGTAATACAAAAATTATATAGAAAATCCATGAAGGAAATTTATAATTAATTTGGAATTTGTATTCTGTGTATCTGTGTACAAGTAGATTATCTATTCTATAAAATTTATTGCCTTAAATTGAAAGTCCATTTTAAGTTTATAAGAGACCCAAATCTGTAATGTTACAAGTATGAATTTTTTTTTGACATTGTAAAAGTAGGCTTTCGAACCGGAAGTAAACCGTAAAACGGACATAAACAAATAATATCTTGCCGGAGCATAAAGTAGTATCGAACGTAAGATTTTATTATCAGTTTTCTTCGGTTTTGCACGTACCGACTGGTAACTACTTTTTGGTAAGTATACGTCTTCAGAAAGTAAATGAAGGTTGAAAGTACAAAAACATATTTTAAAGAACAAACCGGAGCTTGGTTTTTTATTGTTTAATTCGTAAAGTATGCTCTTTCAAAGGAATGAGTAATATGATAAGGTATGACAAAAAAATTAATTTGTTGTACATATATATAAAAAATATTCACTCGGAACTGAGTCAGAAAAAAAGATATTTTTGATGTAAACCGGAGCCGAACAGATATATTTTATTTATTAAACTCGAATAAAAAATTTTTCTTTTCGAAACTCTGATTTATAAAGAATTATTCTATTGAAATTTTGTAATCTAATGGCACTATTATTCTAAAGTCTTTCTCTTGCTTCAAAGTATTTATCAATCTTCAATTAATTATCAATCTTCAATGCAATCTTCAATCCTCGTTCTCTTTAAAGTGGTTTTTCTTTGATATAGTGTCTTTTAGTAGAAAATAATAATAATTAAACCGATTTCAGGAATTTTTTTAGTATTTATTTTTTTGTTGATCAGTGGTCTTTCTTAACGAAGTGGACTACATTATGCACTTACGCCACAGTAGTTTGAGAAACTCTGCTGAAACAATTCCATTCCTTTATTCCCCTTTATTAGTATTTCATCTATTGTTGCAAAGGGTTCTTTAGGTGTCTTTTAGGGGTTGGGCAAAAAAATACAGGGTACCATGTGTGTAGTATAAGGTGGTCGTGATATGACAGTAATGTTATATCCAATAACGGAGTAATGCAATAGAGTTTCGGTAGTTAATTTATGGTAAAAATTTTGCGGTTTTTTAAATGGTTAACTGGTTCAAAATAATTACTTTGTATGATCTGCATTACAAACTGTTACACTAGCAACTTCTCTAATAGTAATTCTTCTAATAGACAGTACAATGTGTACATTGTTTTTATCATTGAAGAATCCCGTCATCATTAATATCTCACACACCGTATATTTGAGTTAACGTGAGAGTTGCTTGAGAAGCAAAAGAAAACAAAAAGTAACAATGCAAAGACAAAAACTTTGTTAAAAAAAACATAAAATTTGCACCAACAATTATGTTGCCTTGTGTTTTTTTATATGTACAAATTTTATTCAAGTGAAGAGTATTAAATAGTAAACTGTGAGTTGTTGAAAATTAAAATTTTAAAAATTATTTATTGGTTTGTCTTATATTGATGTTTTTCCGAGTTAGTGCAACTGGGCACTTTTACTCTTTCTTAGCTGGGGAGTTTCTACAGAGTCTCTCCCTTCTCTTTGACTAATTTATGTATTCGTCACAAGCTTCGCTGATTATTCGATTATTGATCTAAGATCTGTATACTGCCCCATACGGATAGTGACTGCTCTGAGATTAGATAGTGCTATGTAGGCAGCCTGTTAGTTTTCGCGTATAGCTTTAGGATTCTATCCCTGATTTATTTTTTGACTGGGTGTATTCTGAGGTTTCTTAGCATATCATTTGTGTGACTTGAAGTAATATCACCTGCTTTTACTATATAAGCAATAGTTTAGGCGTATTCAGTATCTAAAATTATTTTAACCTTGTAAAATGTAATCGATCCCGACTCTGTTTTATGGCAAATGTAAATTTACAAGAGTAACAAGTGTAATTGTTGCAGTTGTTGCATTTTTTTAAGAATTACTCACTTCTGTGAGGCTCAGCGCAATTCCTTTATAGCTTATTTTATCGTATTTATTTTTATAAATAAAACATTTAAGTTTTTCTTCGTGCATATTGTCGTAAATCTGTATTTATTTGTTCTTAATGTTTACTTTCTTGAAACAATTTTTGTACTCGAATCTTGCCGCATTTCGATTACTTTTCATTGTGATTAATGCCAGCAGCCCATCAACTGACAACAGAAACTAAGCCCAAATTTTCTTTAGTACTGCATACCCACATCCTGATGCCGCATTTCTTCCGCTTGTTCCGAGTGAGTTCCATACTCGTTGAGTGGCAGTTGCGGATTTTTTCTTGCAGTAAGCAAACAATTAAGCAAGAAACGTTTTTGTTTGTTCATTGTGCTGCCGCAACCGGTGTGGTAAGAGTCTTATCAAAATCTGAGGCATTACAATATCACTGCAAGTGCTCCTGTTCCTTACATCGGATGATTTTGGTATAGGCGGAGGTAGTACATGTACGGGGTATGTAGTTTTGTCGAAGTTCTGATGTACTGCAGCATTGTTATTGCTGTTGGCATTGTATAACTTTTTCCAATTCAAGTGAAGTACAATTTTTTTTCGCTTCGTAAAACTCATGTTTGTGTAATGCAATGAGTTGCCTTAATTTCTTTTTCTAGTTTTTTGTCGGCTTAAAATTAAATTAAATTTCAAATAAGCCGCACAAAAGGGATTTGTTTATGACTTCACCATCACATCACAGCTGCTTCTCCTGATCTAACTTTGAACATAGACGCGATGTAATTCTGTTAATTTTTAATTACGTCTTCAAAGAAAGAACTTTATATTTCAACCACAAAGCACACAAAACAAAAACAAAAAGTTGCATTAAACTGCAGAAGTGCATTGCAATTAACTTTACTTGATTGAAAAACAAGGTATATATACAAGGTATCTTCACAACAGTTCAGAATCCTTAAAATCTGCATCAGCGTATGAGTATCGATAATTTGTGGTACCATTTTTGTGAACGTATAGCGTATAGCGGTCTAGGGTAGATTATTTCTCTAAAATAAAGTTTTATTTTTATAATCATTTGTAATGACTTTTGGCCGGACAGCCCTCTTGACAAAAGTTTACTGATGACGAATGTCTGCTTTAAAAAGTTTCTACGCTATTATACTGCTTAAAAAAACTGAAGTAATACAGCACTTGAAAGCATTCGAATGTCATTAAGATGCATTGTTGCTTATTAACAAATATTCGATTTTTGAAAAATTATTTGTCAGCACATAATTAATCTCTTCGTTTCTATTCTTTGTTTCTATTCTATGATAAGCCTCACCAGCAATATACTAAGTTCACTGTACTATGTGCACTGACTTGACTGAGTTGCTTACCATATCGAAATTGCAAACTCAAAAGATTCACTCATCCTACAGAACACTATAACTGCAGGAAATCATGGCTTCTTCTAAAAACAAAAGAAAAATCATAGGAAGAGGAGAGTTTCTCTTTTAATATTTAGCTAGTTTTCTGGTTATTACAATATATTATTTAGATGTCACATATCTGGTTTAATTTATTGTCATCCAGCTTTTGGTATAAGTAAAATATATTCAAATAATTATCTACCTGTTATAACCCTTTTCCAATAGTACGCGGTAACTTTCTCTGCTGTTTTCTATGAAAGTAGTCGTTCTTATAGTGGAAAGTATTCGGTTCAAATATTTCAGATATCTTCTTGTTTTTCGGTACTTAACATATAAATCAAACATATCATAAATGAAACCGTTGTATGCTGTGCGTCATGAAAGTTTCAATTTCACTATAGTTCAAATATCTTAAACAAAGACGTTCAACAATAATCACCTACTATGTATATAAGCCAAAGTTTTCATTTTTGGAACTTTTTTGCTGTCAAGTAGAGTATTTCCAAGAAATATTTTAAAGGATCACTGTCGATGGGTATTTAATTATATCCGAAAAATCTGCATAATTATATTATTAAAATTTAAATTAAATTTTGCTGTAATTCATATTAATGAATCAGCATTAGCTCAAACTTTAATATTGGAAACGGTTTAAGAACTCTTGGTTACTCTGAGTTGAAGCATTTTGTTAAACTAAATCGATCACAATTCTTCCTTCCACAGTCCTAGAATCCTTCATCACAAAATCAAATATATTAATAGAATGTAAAAAGGCAATCGATGAGTTAAACCGGTTAGTTGACATCACTCTTTTCTGGTTCGGGAGACATAGGAACATCGAAGAGACTGAAAAAGCTGACTGTCTAGCCCACTTTGGTGGTTCATTGATGCGTACATTGCGGTACCGGTTTATGTTACCCTAGAGACCGTTAACAAAAGTACTAACCCCTACTTTCTTCAGCTAGCCAATATAAATGGAGAGCACTTAATTCATGTGCAACTTTCCGGGTAACATGGCCCACCTGCAATAAACCTAGTTCTTGGGAATTTATCAAAAGGGATCGTGTGAACACTGCAGTTCTTTTTAGTTATTGGTGTATAGGGACCCACACAAAGAAACTGCGCATTCCTCGTAATCCTCACGGCAGAACTTGTGGACATCTGCAGGAGAAAGAAACCAGTAAACACATGCTCTGTGAATGTCCTTCTTTAGCGTCCAGAAAAAATAGGTTTTTAGGAAGCTATTTCTTTAACAGTTTATCAGATTGTTTATCAATAAATAAACATGAAAAGTTGTCTAATGATCTGACATCAACCATAAAGAACATCAATAAGCTAAATTATTAGATATAGAATAGTCCACTGTTATCAGTTGGTATGCATTTGAATGCATTTGTAATTTTAATATAATAAACTTGGAAGAGCTTCGCAGTTTTTCTCTATACATGCCTTTTTCACAATTTTATTTAAACAATTAAATTCAGTGTGATATATTAATGAAGCTTTTCCGGTCTACTATAGTTCAATTACCCAATAATAATGATTTTTCACGTGAAAAAATTATTTTTTTTTAGCAGTAAATATAATATGTGTTTCTTTTCGATCATAAAAGTTGGCCTAGTTTTCGCCAGTGTAGACGCTAAGTTAGGAATCAACATATAGAAGCAATTTTAGATACAGAGTTTGACTTGACTTTTGTTAAGATTTTTGATCTATTCTCATTTTTTTAAGATGACATATAAATTTTTGTTTCCCGACAAAATTTGAAAATAATATGTATTTGCATTCAAACACAAAAATCTTGCTTGAGTCCAGTTAATGTAGATCCCGAGATGTATGAATATTTAATGTATATTTTCGTTTAACTATGATTTTATTCGATCCCATGCTATTTAGATGTATTCGATGTTTTCCATCAATTGTTAAAATAAGACAATTCAGTCCCGCTTCAAAAAACTAGTACGAGTCGCTGCTGCGGTATCATGGAAAATGAGTTCAAAATACTTGTGTTGCGATAAATAACGAAAACGAGTATCGAGCCTAAAAGTATTTGAAATCGAAGTAAAATCATCGACTTCTTGCGTATTAAAATATTCCCATCTGTGGTAAGAGTCTGAATTTGCAGAAAATAATTAAACAAAAATAATAAATCAAAGTATTGGGATTTCATATCTCAGATATATGAGTTGAAATTAATTAATCAAAATCGCATGTTCATATTGAATTCATTTTTATTGTTCCAATGTTGTTGAAAATGTTATGGATAGATATAATCAAATTAGTAAAAATAAATAAAATTCTCGATTGTTACCATGGCAATGCAGTGAATTTATTATTCTGCCTATTTGCAGAATTTGCAATCATCGCTCTACTGATTGATTTATTTTCCCAAATATGTAACGCAGTCGGCCCACAATTTCTTAATAAATTTTCCAAGTTCAATTTTCAAATAATATTCAGATTTTCTTTATATGTTTATTTTTATGGATATCATTTGTTTAACTTTCTCGTTTGCATATATTTTGCAAAATATTTCAAAATAAAACTTGTTTTTTCAAAATTGTTCAAATAAATGCAGTTACGAGTGCATCTCCACAATTGGCACTTGGCTATTGGCATTTTCTATTAATGAGAGTCCGAGTATTCCGAGTTTGGAATAAATCATTGAAAATTGCCGGAAACAATTTCAAATCAAACAAAATCATTTTTCACAAATTATTAAATCAAATTTAAGTTATCATTCTGTCGGATTATAAATCAAATGTGATTGAATTATTATGAAATTATTTTATTTTTAATATTTGCTAAGCAAACTAATAACAACAAAAAACAATTTCAATTAATTTGAATACAAAATGAATTTTATTATTTCCCAAATAATGGAAATACGAGTACGTTTAACAAAATAATAACAAAATAACAGAAATGAAATCATTTTCGCAACTTTATTTCTACTCAAATCATTTCAATCAAACGCTCGATTAATTTTTATGTCGCCTCATTACTTGTAAACAAAAGTTGTGCCAATGTGCCAAAGTGGCAAACGTTGGCTATATAAGCGCTAAGCCGAGCACTACGGTTTGCAATCCAAAGAAGCTACACACTTTACAAAAAACATGAGTTCTGCTTTGATCACGACATTGACTCTGTTAGGAGCAGCGCTACTGCTACCCGCATCTGAGGTATGTTAACGTAACGTGTATCTAGATATAAATAAGCTCACAGTGACACTACCAGGATGAGACTTAGTTGCATCCTGCGACGTGACACAATTTGCATATTAAAAGTTAATAAAAATAACACTTCCCGCTCTCAATCTGCCTTTGTATACACAGACACGTTACACATCAATTAACGTCAACTTAGCCATGACCGTGTCGGAGGATTCGCATCGCTTGACAGAGGATATGGTGCGCATCTGCGCAGAGGAGACAAACATTTCCCTGGAAGAACTGCACAGGTTCCGTCAAAATGACTTCAAGTCGAATACCTCAGAGGCAACTCAATGCTTTGCACATTGCGTATACGAGCAAATGGGCCTATTACGTGACGGAGTCTTTGTGGACCGCGACTTCATACGCACTTTGGCTGCTGCTACTGATCCAAACACCATTTTGGCAGGAAAGGAATGCTTCAACATTAAGGGTGAGAACAAGTGCGAGACGGCCTATAAAATACATCAATGCCGCTACGAGCACAAAATGCGCGGCATTCCAAAGGAAACAGCAACCACAGAACCAAATGACAAAAGCACCGCAACAGCAACGGATTTGTTAGTTTGAAGTTCTTTGAAGGATGCGGATAGTGTAATTCTACAGGAAGCATTTTAATTATATTTAATGTTTTTGCTAAAAATGTTTAAGAAAGGGTGAACTGTGTAAATTTATTAACAATAAAATATAAACAATTATTATGGTTTCGGAATTAATAAAAATAAAACTCTCTTATAATTTCGGAGGCTTACGAGTCCAGAATCCTTTATTGAAATGAGTTTTTACCAAAATATGAATATAATTAGAGTTCAAAATAATATGGAAATCGCTTCAATACCTTTCATATTAAATAAATGCAAATAATTGCATACTATGAAAAAAATAATTAACAATGATAATACAGAGTTGTGCAGATTTTCATAAAGATTCCCAATGAAATTATATTCATATACCAGAGACAATAATTTAGATTGTTAGTTTTCTCGATAGAATAAATTTCGAAAAATATCGTTAGGAATAGGGCCGGTAAAACAGTCATTTTAAGTGTTGAAGAATGTAATTTAATGACAGTTCACAGCCTCCACGTGGCACCCCTGGAAGGTTACCTGGCACCCGCTGGGTAATGAACTTATAGTGCGTATGAGATATGACTCAATGTGAGCTCAGGATATATATATATACTAGATAACCCGACAAACGTTGTTTTGCCTTATAAATTATTTCTAGTTTCTAGATAAATTCTAGTGTAGACAAAAAGTAACTTACTTATTATAAATGTGTAAGTATGTGGTATATGCATGAAATAGGCATGGAGCGCTATGAACGAAAAGGAAAACAAAAATAACAAACGCCAAACAATATTATTTTTAAGTTATTATAGTTTATTTATTAAATTATTAATTTAAAATCAATAGATTTGTATGATATCAAGTTCCCTGGCAACAACTGTTGTATCTTCAAATTTAAATTGTCTTGGATTGACTGTAAATAATAATAATGATAATGGGCCAGTAACATTAACCAACAACAGTCGAAGATAAAATAACTCAGTGTGTCTTGGATTAACTGTAAATAAGCGTTCGATTTAAATAAATTGAGGCATGCATCAACTGGTGAAACTTGCTTGCGGGGCATCCATTTTTTTGTTTGAGCCCATGTGAAATAGCGTGGTTCTTGTAAATAGAGTAATGTTCTTGCAAATCCACCAAAATCATCCGTACTATTACACAATTCAAAAAATGCAGTGAGTGTAGATTTAGGTGGATTTGTACTACGATCAATCACTGTCTCGTTAGTGAAAAATACACGCTGACCATTTTCAAGATGGACGGCTAACTGAACAGCTGCTGGATCCCGTTCATAAATTAGAAAACCGAAGATACGCCAAGCAGCTTCATTGGAGCTGATGTACCGACCAACTTGGTAGAGCGTAATTTCACCGTTTTTGTTCATTGGAGGAGCATTTACATTAGTATTTTCTACTCTAAACACAGCCATATCACTGCCTTTATGGACATACTTGCAAATATATTTGATGCTCTTCACAGAACTGCAAAACTCAACATTTATATAAGCATTGTATGTCTTGCTTAGCAGAGACGAATACGGCACCACCCGCCATTGTCCCCCATTATCGGGATTTCTTCGACGATATATTGGATAACCGTCGGTATTTGTTATAGTATCATTAGTGAATTCTTTAGAAAAATTTTTAGTACATTTTCCATCTGCCATGCAAGGCGAAGACGAAGAAACGAAGTGGATGTAAATTTATGTTAAAAAAATAAAAAATTTTTTGTTAAAGCAATAAGGATATTTTTGCTGGGTAGGGACTCCCTAATCACTTTAGCGGTATGAAAAATAGATAGTAGCCGATTCTCAGACCTACTGAATACGCATATAAAATTTGGTAAAAATCGGTAAAGCCGTTTCGGAGGAGTACGGTAACTAACATTTTGACAATGTTAATTTTATATATAAGATATATATCCGCATATATATGTATATACATACATATATATACATATATATAGATATATAATACTTGTATATGTACATTATATTTATAGTTGAAGAGTGGTGTTACCAGAATTTTATTAATGAGAAATTCATTTTCTATGGGGCAACAAAATAGGTCATTTAAAAAAATTTTTATGGATATGTGGTTTTAAAATAAAAAAGGTTTTACGAAGACAATAATATATTTCGTTTTTTTTTCACTAATAACAGTCGGTTTTTCAATGTTAGTTTAAACTTTCGATTTAGAAATCTGAAGTTGGGAATGTAATGCCAAAGGTATTCTAAAATAAAAAAACAAAAATAAATAAAAATAAAAAGAGAAATAAATACCGGAAAATATTCCATAGAATACTTTTTTTATAAATACAATGGAAGTCAAACTTCCATAGCTCGAACTTCTAAAGCTCGAATTTTCTATACCTTAACTAAATAGAGTGCAAAAGGGGTTAGACAGCAAATTACATAAATTACAAAAAAATTCTTTAATTCGAAGTTTCCAAAGTTGAACCTTTTCGTTTCAAAATGGTACTTCGAGTTATAGAAGTTTGACTAGAGTTTCGCAGAGACCGCAATAATTGGTAGTCAATGGTGCGAGGTCCGACCTATACGATGGATGCACTATAAACAATTTCTGGTAACTTGTTCCGAGTCACAAAGACGTATGTGACCTGACAAATCATCTACAGAAAAACCTGTCGAACTAAAAGCTAGTCGTTAAATTGTATTGTACATGAGAAAAAGTAGAAGCTTGTACAATTGGTGTAGCTGAATACAGAAATAATTCATTATAATAATTATAGTATAATTAAATACAATAGTTATTTCCAAGACCACTGATGTTGGATATTTGACAATACTCGTAACAGCTGTATGATCAGCCAAAATTCAATTAATTAGGAATAGGAATAAACGGGCTATCAGCTCCCAACGGAGCGGAGCATTGCGATTTAATTAATTTAAATTATATAAAAAGAGTTTTTGTTGTTGTAGTTCACTACTTTTCGAAAAAAAAACCTCTTTATGAAATAATTTATTTATATAGCATTCGAGTTGTAAGGCCCAAATTTTATTCTAAAATTTAACCCCACAAATTAAATGAATAGTCAAATATGAGTTTAAATCCACTTAGTAAAAAACGTATTTCTATATTCAATAAAATTTTCCTACAGTAACATCCATTTTTATTATAAACAAATGACCCTGTAAATTTCATATTAGAGACAAACATTTTGTATAAACGAATGACCCTGTAAAGTAAAATATGTTTTGATTAGTTTTTTTTGCCGCTAATAAAAGTTAGTTAAATAAAAGTTAGTGTTTATTTGAAAATAATTATTGTTTTTGTATGTAATGGAAGGAATTTCAAATAAAAGGGCAGCGAAATTGCCAAATCTTTCTATTTGGAATTTCTTTCACTTCAAGGTAAGTCACTTTTATTAGGGATGATAGTGGGAGCTCGGACTAGTTGGTCCAGGCATATGTTGATTCGTTTGGCCATTGCTGACGATCACCATGTGAATGGATGAACTAGTTTGGGTGAAGTGATAATGGTTGAATTACCTTCTGCTTGGCTTATGCTGGCGTAGGGTAATTTAACCAGTTGAGTTACCTTCTGCTTGGCTTTTGCTGGCGTAGGGTAATTTAACTAGTCATCCAGACTTCCATTTGGCCATAGCTGATGGAGGAATGGGCGACGAGTCACCAACACTGTCAGGAGGCGTGTGGACAACGAGCGTTTGGCAATTGCTGACGGACGTGGCCAGGCGTAACAGTAGAAAGGAACCCTTGTCTGGCTTTTGCTGACAAAGGTATTGCTCTATATTGATATTAGAGTTTCTAGAGATTACCTATTTGGAATTTCTTTCACTTCAAGGTTAGCAACTTGCGCACCACTGCAAGCAATCGTCATACGACATTTCACAACATTCTACACCGTTTACAACATCGTGACAACGTTTATGACATCATACAACATTTCACAACATCCTACACCGTTTACAACATCGTTACAATATTTATAACACCATACAACATTTTACAACAGGCTACACCGTCTACAACATCATTACAACATTCTACATCATTAGCAACATTTTCAACATCGCTTTCCACAACTTGATTATATTTTTCTTTTTTTTTGTTAAATAATAAACGCTACTTTAAACAGAAGTGTCTCTATTATTTTACTTAGATAAATTTTCTTATAACGAACCCTGGTATACTCGCTGAGTATACCCCAGCTATAGATAGGGCCGGGAAAAGGTCGTTACAGAGTTTATACTTTTTATAGTATACTTGTATATATACCATAAATTTATTCTTCTACTACTATTGTATTATTTCATTAAGTTCGGAAGTTTTCAATTTTAGTTAAAAACAAGATAGTTACTAATTCTCATATATACTTGCATAATAATAGGTAGAAAATGTTCATTGAAAGTGCTTACATATGTAAGTAATTTCTTAAATAAGCAATTCAAGGATATGTTCTATAATTTATTGGGAAAATTTAATTGGCTTGAAATTTTTATTTCTAATTTTTTAGTCAATGCAATTACAAACCTGAAGGTGAGGCACTTTAAAGGAAGATTTTTCGTTTTGAACATTGTGGCACATTAATTGGAAACATTGCGGCGTCCACACGGATCTCAATACATCTAACACGGTATTGTTGAGTTGAAACTGTGAAGTATGGCTTCGAATGGTTGACAATCTTCGTGGACCACGTGAACATGGTTGTTACCACATTGGTTTACCTTAAATCGACTTTGCGGTGAAGGTGGTGGGATTTGAAATGGTTTTCGTTTTAATGGCGAAATTTTGCTATTTATGTACATGCACACCTTCGAGACCCTGTTGAGTTAGTTGGCATCTGATTCCAGCACTGTCGTCTGCCACATTGTAGTTGTCGCCGTTGAATTATTAAGTTGCAGTTGAGAGTTTAAGTGCAGAACGGTGATTTGTGTAAATGGTGCTAATATCAAGGAATGCATTTAAAAACTATACAGAAACATATTTAAGTATTACAACTGTTTGCAGAAAGGAAAAAATTAAGAGAACAAATGAACTGTATTATTTACTTTATCGCAGATACATTTTGCATTAATAATGTGTTGCAAGGATAAGAAAAT